GGATCTCAGAGAAGCTACAACTGCCACTTTACTAAAATAGCATAGTCCCTAATCATTCTAAATATTTGTTAAAATACATTCAATTAAGTCTGTTCTTCAGATCTCTTTAAGGATATGTCATATTGAAACAGATGCATACAATTATACAAGGCAACAATCAATCAAATTGAATAATTGTGGATCCCAGTTCCAACTGATACATTTCAAGTAAATACTCCCCTAAGGTTCAGTTTTCATTGATGAAGATGGGACAGAAAGAGTCTAAGTGCCTGAGGACCTGTTAGTTTGCTGTGAGTTTATGTCTCTCAGGAATGTTATACATTATCCATAAAGACACATAATGTCTGATCACTATGACTTCATAAATATGAGCTGAACTAGGAACACAGCAATAGGCATGCAGATGTGAATGGCAAAACTCATTAGACCTCAACAATACAAGGATTACAGGGAACAAAGTAAAGCTGACAGAGGAAGAAAAAGTCTTCCATGAGGCAGAGCACATTAAATGATTTGTAAGACAAAATGGTATTCATATACAATTTAGGATTGTATATATATGAATCTTATAGTACATAATTTATATATTATAATTGAAATTATATGTGTAGGTTTTACATTATATAAGGTATATATTATGTATAGGAATTATAAATACTTTTATATTCCTATTATGTATTCATAGATATTTGAATGTATATATGTAATAACAACTTAAAAAAGAGTACATAAGTTTGTAATAGAGAAAGAATAGATATTCAGGATCATTTATCAGAGAGAAGTGAAGGGAATAATGATGTAATTTCACTATAATATGAAAAATAACAATGCAGTTCTATTAATTAGCATTTAAAGTTGATTTATATCTTCCTTATTTTTAATGTTGTTCTTTAGCTTTCTTTACTAAGTAATTAAATATATTGTGAAATTAATCATCCTTCAATTCACATCAAACTTTTTTTAAAGAGTTATCTTCTACAGCTGTGGATCCCACATGGAACCAGTGTAGATCTTCTGCATATGGGAGAAGATTGTGTACCTGGGTCTGTTTGAGGGGCCTCTGGCACTGTGATCAGGATCTATCCCTGGTGCAGGAACTGGCTTTCTGAATCCCATTACCTGTGGTAGGACACCCTCCTCACCCTTGATGCAGCCAGGAATGGCTTGGTCCTGCCTCATCCAAATGTACTTAGCTGTCTTCCCTTGGAAGAACTTACATTCTGGAGGAGAGGATGAACTTACCCTGTTGGACATGGGTTGGGGAGGCAGGAAGGCAGGGGTGGAACAGGAGGAGGGAAGGGGGGGGTGTCTGTGCTTGATATGTAAAATGAATAATAAAGAGAGAGAGAGAGTACACCACATATGTTATCCAAGAAAACATGTGTTAAGGCTAGCACCCTCCAAAGAATAAAGATATTGAGCAAAGGTGAATTTGGACAATAAAATCAATAAAGAGTAAAAAAAATGTCCTCTAATAAAAACAATGGAATAAATTAATTTATACTTTAGTGACAATGAATGCATGGAGATAATTTTTCTTACTCTCAGCTTTAATCTAATAGTAAAAAAGTAAGACTAAAATTTCTTCCAGTATAGACATCTTTTGTTTTAGAAACATGTTGAAAATAATAATTTATTCAGTTTAACTGTGGGACAAGAGAGCCTAAAACTCTACTAACATCCCATACTGACTAAAAGATTGAGAAAGAACAAGGTGCATTTTTCTGATTTTTCAAAGATACACACTTCACAATCAAGGTCAATCATGTCATTCTTTAAAAAGATTATAAAATATTACAAGGAAATGAATCTAAGATGAAAGCAGGCATAGCTGTTTTTATATTATATGATAAAATAAATTTCAAACCCAAACTAAACAGAATAGGTTGAGAAGGATATTACATAATAATCAAAGGGAAAATATAGTGAAAACATACATCAATTCAAAGCATTGCATCAAAGGCCAGGCACAAAAGTTTGTAAAAGGAACAGTACTGCTGGTAAAATCACATATTGATACGAACACAGTGATACTAGGTGACTTCAATACCCTAATCACACAAACAGGTTGGTCTTCCAGACATAATCTAAACAAAGAAACACTAGAGTTAGATAACATCATGAATCAAATAGACATGACAGACACCTATGGAATATAACAAGCAAACACTAAAGAATATTCTTTTTTCCAAGAATTCACAAAGCTTCCTCCAAAATTGATTACAAATAAGGAATAAACAAGTATCCATAGTTATAAGAAAATTGAAATAATGTCATAGACTATATCCTACCACCGTGAATTAAAGCTGGATATCAACAATGCCAACAGGAAATATACAAACTCATGGAAGCTGAATAACTCACTACTGAATGAACAGTGGGTCAAGACAGAAACCAAGAATGAAAATGAAAACACAGCATATCCAAACAATGGGACACAAGGTAGGCAGTTCTAAGAGGCAAGTTCAAAGCACTGAATGCCTACAAAAATACTGGAGTGATTTCTTATTAATAATTATAATACACATTTGAAATCTCTAGAAAAACAGTATTTGAAAATAGATAAAAAGAAATAAGAGGCCTGAAGGATGAAATCAATGAGCTATAAACAAACAGCAACTACATAAACCAAATGATGAATAAAAGAAATGAAAAGTTGTTTCCTCAAAGAAATCAAGCAGATGACAAGGCCTTAGACAAATTAGTCAACAAAATGATAGAAAATATCTAAATTAATGAAGCTAGATATGAAAGAGATGACTTTACAACAGATCCTGAGGAAATTGAGATAAACATAAGGACCTATTTGTGGGAGCCACACCAACTCCAGGTTGTGGTTTGATTCAATCATGACTTAAGGTCATATAGTTCAAGCTTTTCTTTGCTCCTCAAGGCTGAATAGCAGGATGTTTGGACAAAGGTTTCTAGATGTTTTGATAATAAGATGTTTATGCTTGTTCTTCCTTGAACCATGGTGAGGAGGTCTATTGCCACCCCTTGCTTTGTGTATAAAGAAAATACTTTGCAAAATAAATTTGGGGCTACTGCTGTATTCATTGAGAGCCCTCCCAATTCTATCTTTGGTCTCTTGTTTTTTTTTTCTTAATCTACACTCCCCCTTTCAGGTACTGTTGCACAGGTCAGTTGGTCCTGACATATGGTGCCCAATAGGGGATCTGAAAATGGGGGGCTTCATGAAGGACACTCAGGTGAATGGAGCACTCAGATACTATTAGAGTGGAAGTGCGATGAGTAACTTGGGAGTGAAATTGTAAATATGGGGCAGGATAAATAGTGGACTGTTTATACAATTACTTAAAGATATTTTAAACGTCAGAGGAGCTAAAGCAGGGAGGCAGCCAGTACAGAAATTTTAGTTTGTAGAGCAAGTGTGCCCTTGGGTTCCCAAGCATGAGACCTTGGACACAAACACATGGGGGATGATTGTAGTCAAAATCTAACAGCATTATAATGAGCATTAGCCTGGGAAGGCCACAGTGAAAGTACTTATTCTATGGGCACTTATCAGGGACACTTTTAATTTGTGCCATGAACAGCAGAAGGTATTTCCCCGTGAAATGTTTAAAAATGAAACAAAACACTCCAAGACACCAGAGGAGCCACTAGACCCAGA